CCCAATTACATTTGTTTTCGCATTAGTTACCATGTAACAAGCAGCCTTTATTTCTGTAGTACCATTTTCATGGTCTTTTATTGCAGGATGGAGGCCAAGGAGAACAGTGATATTTGCAAGCTGGGATGCAGAGGAATTTGGCTTGTTAGGATCCACAGAGTGGGCTGAGGTAAACCAATAGCATTCAAAGAGAACTTTGCACAGTGGCAGATCATAGGGATATCTGTACTAGAAAGCAACATTTCTCTCCCTCCCTCTCTCACCCACACAAGCGCACATACTCTTTAAGATTCCTTTTGAACTACCAAGAATATATGGCTCCTTGCAGTATATGATTTCTTTCCCTGAAACAGCTGTTACTTCTGTGGATGGGAAAACAGTTCTGAGGGAAAAAAAAAGTTCATCAGCATTTTCTTCCTCTTTTCCTTCTCATAGGAAAATGTCAAAGTACTACAGGCGCGGGGAGTGGCTTATATCAATGCAGATTCCTCCATCGAAGGTACATAGTTTTGACGTGTGTTTTACGGGCGTAGTGATGGTAGGTACAGATGACTGGGTGGCATTTTGGCTTGGAGATCCACGAAAGCTTCAGCGTGATAATTTTGTTGCATTAGTTCCAGAGTAGATATGGGGGTAAACAGTGACTCTGAATCATGAAGTATCCTTCAGGTATTCCTGTTGCTTCAGGGAAACAGCCCGTTACAGTAGCTACACTATTTGGGAAGCCATGGGGAGGGACAAGAAGTGTTATGCCCCTGTCAGCAGTTCTATGGCAACTCTTTAGAGTCAGATTCCTGTCTTATAGCATGTGTAATAAACACAGGGAGATAAGAAGAGCTCTTAAGGATTGCTTCAAAAGCTGGGCTGTGATTCATCCTAACCAATAAAAATGCACTGACAAGATCAGTCTTCTACAGGGAGAATCAGCTTGTTCCTTGTAGAGAGTATAGCTCTCTAGTCCCTTTCTTATTAACATTAATGGCACGAGGTTTCAGCTGAGTAGAACTTGCTTCTTCGAATAAATAGTTTTTCCTGTTTTTCAGGAAACTACACACTACGAGTGGATTGCACACCACTGATGTACAGACTGGTGTACAGTCTGACTAAAGAGGTAATGTCGTTTGAAATCTTTAGCCAGCATGTTCAGTGCTCACTTACTGCGTGGGGCTCTGTGTATAAAATGTGGTGTCAGACGTTTCTTCCTTTTCTGACTGCAGTACCCCTTTTCAGTCAATAGCTGGGTAACTGGAGCTTTTTCCCGGGAGTGGCAAAGGGATTTCAAGCTTATACCTTTAAATTGTTAGCTGTTCAGGATAAGGGTATTTTTCCACTCCTACTGTAAAAGTATTCCTTCTAAACCCAACAGAATTTAAAAATGCTGTGAGCTAGAGGGCAGAAACTAGCACAAACTGGCTGCCCAGTCCCACTACTAGGGTGCCCATGGTAGTGGGAGGCTCTGACTCCCTTTAGGCAGGAGAAGAAATTAGGCTTGCTACGGCGTTGTTTTTAGCATGATGTGACAGGTTTGGTCAAAGTGCTCAGCTTCGTTGTGCCTTGTTAGATACTCATTGGCTCTGACCGTGATGCTCTGACACATATTTGTGTGCCACACAAAATTAAAAGCTAGGGACCTTTCTCGGGAATTAACCTCACATCTTAGATGTAAGATATTCCTTGCTTTGAGAGTGGGTTTTAGAGGCTGGCACTAAGGACTTTTTATTTCTGGTTTGTCTTTTCTTTTTTCCTCTTCATCTGTATTAAAGCGTGGACATCTAATTAATCTTCTTTGTGTGAGTTTTATATACATATATATAATGTACATTCAACTGATGTATATATGCTATGAATCTACTATCTCTGTCTTCAGCTGCTGTATATATTCAGTCATCTGTCTTTTCCAGGGTCAATAATTTGTTATCTCTTGGAAGCCGGCCTTAGACTGGTACAAAAGTAAAGGAAATGTATTAAATCAGTATAATCATTTTCTGGCAACTGAAAGGCAACAAAAAAAATTTAACTCTATTAAAATTAGGTTCCAGATAAAGATATTTCTGTCCTGAACTGCAGAAGAGCTGATCACCTGCAGTTCCCATGGCAACCTGTGCTAAGTGCAGGTGTTCAGAACAGTCAGAAAATCAGGTCAGCAGAGTCTCAGTTTGGACACCAAGAGCCATCGTTAAAATGTTGACCTAAATACCAGTAAACACAGTTGTGTAACCCTTCCCCGAGCTGGGAAGCAGCAACAAAGGCTGATGAACGCATGTAACCGCAGCTTGTTGGCAGCTGATGTCTGAAGAGAATGCTGATCAGGAAGCACATCCCGTGTGATCCCACCCAAAGTTAATCTGTGGCGAAAAGTAACACTGCTCCATGAACAAAACCCCAAATATGTTAGTTTTATTTTGATTCCTATTGTGGAGAAATTCTTAGATGGTAGATATAGATATTAATAAAAGAATATATATTAATAATCTTTAATAGATTAAGATAATAAAACCTCAGCAGCCCACCAATAAAAAGGAAAGATGAAAAGACACCCACAGTGTTTAACCTGCTCAGCAATCTGGAAAACAGTCAAAGTGATAAGAATGAACTTTAGTATGGTCACGATTTGTGTGCCTCTATAGCAGCTATGATGACATTAACACCAACTACCGTACACTTTGCCCTTCTAAGGTTACTGCTGCATCCCTGGAAATGATTTTTGTGAACTAAAAAGGCAGAAAGAGTTTTGAATTAAACAAAGACAAAAGTGAAATTCCCTGCCAAAGAGAAACAAAACATTCTGGTTTTGTGGGGGATTTTTATGTTGAATATTTAAATTAAATGGCTGAAAATCTTATAAAGAAATTTCAGAATGTAAATACTGAATTGAAATGTTTTTCTTTCCCTGTGTTTTCTTCCATCTAAAATTATCTATTTTTAGCAAATAAACCATTCCTTTGGAAAATGCTATGCATTTGAAATGTTAAAATAGAAATGCAGAAAGGTTGAGGGCCTTGAGACGACTTATTTATTGCCTTAAGCCATAGGCATAGGGCGTAGGGTTGTAGATTTGTTGCTTGATAACATTTAAAATTGTACCCTTTGCCTTTTTTCACAATATACTTTTTTTCTAGATACCAAGTCCTGATGAGGGGTTTGAAGGAAAATCTCTTTATGAGAGCTGGTATAAAAAAAATCCATCAACAGAATATAAAGAGGTCCCCAGGTCAGTGACGAAAGAAAATAAATGATATACCAAAAGTTATTATAACTTGTAGAGTGTGGGTTTTAAAGAATATCCACTTGAAAGGCTGAGCACCTAAAAGAAATGGTGTGATTCTCAGCTGGTTAAATTTCAGAGTTTTATAGATTGCAGCTGATATACTACTGTACAGCAGTTTTAAGAGCTTGCCTTTGTAGCATGGACAGAAGGCTTTATATATGAAAAGTAAAAGTGTTCATGTAGTTTACAAAGATTTAGACAAATACAGGTAGTATGCACAAGCCAGCGGCAGGCTGCTAACAGGATGCTAACACAGCAGCTTGCCCTTGCACTAGCTTCTAGTCTCGTGGAAGGCCTCTGAGTTTGGGTGGCTGGGAAGCACACCAGGCAGGATTTTAGAACTCTGTCCTTCAAATTTGCCTGGATTTCTCTCTAGAATCTCAAAGACTGATTCTATTCCATGGAGCCTTGCTGGTACTGTGGTGATTTCTC